GACTGATAGAGATATGGTAGTATGTGTCATACACATATCTATATGTAGTGAAGGACAGTAGAATTAAGTATTAAACTTACTGTAACTATGAATATAAAGAAACTTAGAAAAGATTTACTGTGCAATCTCAAAAAAAAGGATATTCAGAGTAACTGGAAATGTGATATGTGATGTGAATACAGATAGACAAATGCAAACAAGTTTATTTTGCTTTATGAACCTCTGCAACTGTAGCACTGGTCCTTGAATTTTCCTGTTCCTCAGAGCCTATACATTGAGCTTCCTCAGAAATATTGTGTTGTGTGACAGAGAAGTGAAAACTAGAGCACTTAAATACTGTTGATTTTTGTGGTATCATAGAAATCCATTGACAGAATGGCCCTTAAAACTGCACAGAGTTAGTTATAGGGGTGCTAATGCTAGAGCATGTAGAAATTAAGATACAGTTCTTCATATATATATATATATATTAATACCTCTGTAATCTTGCCTGCCAAAAATGATATCTAGCTATAAGCAGCATAAAACCGTATGTCACATTCTGGAAAGGTAGTGCTATTTTACCCTATTTGTAGTTAAATGTCAATATTTACCAACAACAGGAACTTTATGTCTTTCCATGCTATTTTTATACAGGCTACATCGCTAGCTTCTGCTTCTTTTACAGTCACATTACAGCCATTTCAAACATTTGTAAACAGTTTGTGAGGCTGCATGCCATGCACAAATAACACTGCTGTAGTTCCCACCTCAAGTACATCAAACTGGGAGCTGTTTTGAGTCCAGCCTGAACTTAGTGCGCAATGGTGGCTGCAGCAGTGTAATCAAGGTCTGAAAATAAAGGTCAAAGATGAAGGTTTGGGGAGAGGAGAGGGAGCTGGTGTTGCAGACATCTTTCTGGGTGACTGCAAACATTTGAGACTGCTTTTTTCTCCACCATAAAATGTGTTGAAAGGAAGTTCAAAGGAGCCAGGGGAGAGGTTTCTAGTTTTGCTTAAGGCATGCTGCTGCAGGCACAGATACCCAGGCTGTTTGCTCTAAAGTGCAAAAATTTGGGATTTTGCTTTTTCTGTTGTTTCAGTTAAAATGTAGCATTTTTTGGAAGTCCATGATTTTTCTGGTGGAGACAGAATATGCTGAACATAACACTTCTGGACAGTAACTAAAAGCCACTGTTAATCTGCAAAGCCATTCCTATGTCAGACAGCCTTTATGTAGAGTGAAGGCCTCTTCTCAGGTCTTTGCAGCCAGCAGAAGGGAGCAGGGGGTTGGGAGGGTGATGATTTTTGTGTGTGTTTACTCATGGACTCTCTGCTATTTTCTTGTTTGCTTTGATCTTGTGGTTTGAGGTTTGAGTGGTGGTAGATGAAAAAGTGTTAAGAAAGAAACTGTAGTCTGCGCTCTTGATGCACATCTTTCTCGTGGTTCAAGCCCAGCCGGCAACCCGGAATCATGCAGCTGCTCGCTCACTCCCCTCCTTCTTCCTTCCTCCCCCCGCTCCCGGAGGGATGGGGAGGAGAATCGGAGGAATGTAACTCCCACGGGTTGAGATAACAGCACTCCAGTAACTAAGGTATAATACAAACCACTACTGCTACCAATAATAATGACAAGAGGAATAACAAGGGGAGAGGACACAACCGCTCACCACCCGACGACCGATACCCAGCCCGACCCGAGCAGTGATCTGGGCCTTCCGCCTAACTCCCCCCTGCTTATATACTGGGCATGACGTGCTGTGGTATGGAATACCCCTTTGGCCAGTTTGGGTCAGGTGTCCTGCCTCTGCTTCCTCCTGGCTTCCCCTCCTCTCTGGCAGAGCATGAGACTGAGAAAGTCCTTGGTCAGAGTAAACGTTACTTAGCAACAACTAAAAACATCGGTGTTATCAGTGCTGTGCCCAGGCTGAAAGTCAAAAACACAGCACTGCACCAGCTACTAAGAAGGAGAAAAAAATGACTGCTGTAGCTGAACTCAGGACAATCTTGCTTCTTCCCATCTTCAGTCTCCTTTCAGAGGTAGCCTGCAGGGAGGGCACGTGCACAGGTAACTCATTTCCTTTGTGTCTGCTCACTCAGTCTGACCTGCAGCACAGCAGTGCTCAGCAAGCTGAAGAGTTTTCTTTCAGCATTGGAGGACTCTGTGTTTTCACTTCAGTGTGGAGTTGGTGTCTCTCATGGCTGTAGCGCTGGCTGTCTGTTAAGCCAAAGTCCATTTTCAGCAGCAGTGCTGCGGAGCAAGTGTGTTTTGTAACTGTGCTCCAACCATGTGCAAAACTGTAATCCTAAGGGACTCTGATGAAGATGGCCTCCTTGGAGCTGCATGTGTGCGGATTAGATTTGAGACAGCTCTAAAGCATCATAAGCGCACTCTGAACGATCATCTGATTGTAAGGCAGCAATTTATAATCATGTAATAATAGGTTTAAATTTGTGGAGGGGACTCTATTTTAGTCTTTCTGACTCCCTGATGTTGGTTTGAAAAAAGCAAAATAATACTGCCACTCCCAAACACAGCTCAGCAAGAGCTTGGCCTTCAAGTTCCCAAAAGGACATGCCAAGAAAGCCGTGAAATGGCAAGTCTATCCCCTGTTGTCTTTGCTTTAATAGGTCCTGGGGAGCTCTGCAGCTTCTGAGCCACATTGTGCAAAATTTCTCCAATTTCAGGTTTCACAACCTGCACGAGTAACTTGTTGTAATAAAACCTGTTCCAGTCCCAGGCTGTTCTCCAGGTCTCTGCCAGGCATGGCCATGAGTGCTGAGGGACTCCAGAGGTTGGTCAGAAGCTGGTGGCTGGGTTCTGCCCCAGGTTACCCTGCAGGGATTTGCAGCTGCGCTTGGTTCTACTGATGTAGCCTGCAGGGTGCTGGCAAGTCTGTTTGTACCCATCCTACTGCAGAAGGGAGCCTGGGAGCATCTCTGTTATTGTATTTGTTATAATGTCTCATGTCTACATGATGTGTAGCTGGGAAATAGCCTCTAAGAATAAAACAGTTTCTGTGGTGCTTAAGCACAAAAACCTTCATGTATTTTCTGGGAGAATCAAATGCACGCAGTTTAAGAGAAAATACATGAAGAAAGTATAAAATGCAGTCAGGTGAAGTTCCCAACAATTGGAAAAGGGAAATATAACCCCTATTTTCAAGAAGGGGAAAATGAAAGACCCGGAATCATAGAATAAGTTAGGGTTGGAAAGGACCTTAAGACCATCTAGTTCCAACCCCCCTGCCTTGGGCAGGGACTCCTCACAGTAGACCACATCACCCAAGACTCCATCCAACCTGGCTTTGAACACTGCCAGGGATGGAGCATTTTCCACTTCTTAGGGCAATGCATTCCAGTGCCTCACCACCCTCACAGAAACTGCAGACCAGTCAGTCTCACCTCTATGCCTGGTATGATCAAGGAGCAGATTCTTCTGGAAACCATGCAAGGGCACATAAAAAACAATGAGATGGTTGGTGATAGCCAACAAAGTAGAGGCTTTGGCAAATTGTGCCTGACCAGTTTGGTGGTCTTCTATGATGGGGCTACAGAACGGATGAATCGGGGCAAAGCAGTTGATGTCATCTACCTGGACTTGTGCAAAGCGTTGGACACTGTCCCGTAACACCTCCTTGTCTCTAAACTGGACAGACATCAACTTGATGGATGGACCACTTGGTGGATAAAAAACTGGCTGGATGGTCACACATAGAGAGTTGCGGTCAACAGCTCAATGTCCAGCTAGGGACAGGTAACGAGTGGTGTCCCTGAGGGATCAGTGTTGGGACCGATCTCGTTCAACGTCTTTGTCAGTGACAGGGACAGTGGGAGTGAGGTGTCCTCAACAAGTTTGCCAACGACACCAAGCTGTGTGGTTCGGTTGATACGCTGGAGGGAAGGGATGCCATCCAGAGGGACCTGGACATGCTTGAGAGGTGGGCTGATGCCAGCCTCATGAAGTTCAGCAATGTGAGTGAAAGGTCCTGTAGTTTAAGAAGGGTGCACATGTTAGGAGCTCCTTATGTAGCCGGCATTTCATATGGCTGAGATCATGCTCTGCTCGCAGTCAATCTCTGTTGTGCCTGAATTTTTGTTTAAATGGGTATTTACACCTTCTTTCTCTGGATAGTAAATAAAGACTTTATTTTTCTTCCAGTCATTGTGACGTTATTTTTTTGTCTTTTTGTTGTCTATTACATATTTTTAATGTGCTTTTAAAATATATTTCAAACATCTTAAAAGCAATGTGAGAACTAAGTTAGTTTAAACACAGATTAATCCAGAGTAAGAGGTAAAAGTGGTCGGGGGTATAGACAGAGATATGTATGTATAAGCAATCACTGGTCACATATTTACTTGTCACAGTTCCCTGAAGGCAGCTGTGAGGAAATGTGATACCTCCTTTGGGGAGCTGCTGGTGTTGGAGGGAGTCATTTGGATCTGCATTTCTTGCACAGTCTGTAGCAAATGCAGTTAGAAATGTTTTCACCTGGGTTTGTTCTTGTGTACCAAAAACTCAGTGTAATGGAAGCCATGCACTTTTTTAAAAAAAGTTTTATGTTCATGGTTTAAAATAGCCATTGAGGGAAAGGGATTCTGAAATGCTTTAATCTGTGTAAATTGGCATGATGTCAGAGAGCCAAAGCTGCTAAATATTACTTGTTGGAGCTTGCATGTCAGCTGTAGTTTTATTTGCTAGGGTTTGTTTTCTGTTTTCATTTTCTTTAGCATTTAGAATAACTGTAATCTCAGAACCATAGAATTTCATAATAAATATTTAAATTGTGAATTTCAAAGGAAACTGCTTTAACATCATTAAAAGTTGGCAGCTCCTGGGTTCTGAACTCACTGAACCACATTGCTCTTCTTCTGTTGGGGAATTTCTGTTCAACCTATTGGGGAAGTTTTCCCTGTCCTTCACATAGCTCTGCCTGGGGTGCTGACGATGCCCAGGACACTCGAGGACCCTCTGCTCCCTTCCCTTGAGGCCTGCACAGGGCTGGGGCTCCAGTGCTGCTCTGCAGCTGCTCAACATTTCTGGGGAAAAGAATGTTTGTAAAAAACTAAGCCTATGGGTGTTTAAGACCCCTAGACTAAAACACTCATCAGACAGACAGAGATCCTGGTTAGTGTCTTCCCTGTTTCCCCTGCTGGAGGATGCTGCTCCTGGCCCATGGAGTTTCTCTTCAGGTGAGGGAGTCACTGGGATTGTTCTTTGTTGGAGTCAGGCTGCAGACAGCATGGGTGACAGCAATGATGCCACACCAGAGCTGTTCTTCTGTCTATTCATTCATCAGGGAACTGTGTCCCTGGCAGAGGGCTGCTGGGAATCAGAACATCAGTGGCAATTATTCTCAGCTTTTTATTGTGAAATATCAAACCAATGTAAGGGAAGGATCTGCATGACCCAACAAAGCTTAATCACCTCAAGGATGATGGAGCAGGTAACAGCTTCAGAAGGTATAGTGGTACATGTAGTTTGTCTTATCTGCTGACCACGTGGAATGAACAATAAACACATGACTCTTCTTCTGCTATTCAGTAGGACTACCTCTTCATTATATAAATGCAGAGGTGTGTAACTAATGGAATTTTTACATGTAAACTGAAGAAATGAAACAGCTGGATCATGGTAAAATGGCAAAAATAGACTTCTGCCTTTTTAACATCTCAAAGTTTATCATCCTTTTAATAATGAAAGGGTACTCATCCCTAAATGATGCTCTTTGGCTACTGGGATGGAACTGATCGCTAAAAATTATTGTTCAGCTTGAAGTCAAATTGCTATATCCTTGTATTTGTGCCACCAGTGTCCTTGGCATTCTGAAAGTTCTGGCTGCTTTTGCTTCAGGAGTCCATCATGGGAGCAGCTATTACTTGGCTTTGTGGTAACCACCTGGAAAGATGAGGATGTCTGACTCATTGAGCAGACCCTTGTGCTGGGTAATCATAGAATCATCGAATAGTTAAGGCTGGAAAGGACCTTGAGATCATCTAGTTCCAACCCCCCTGCCTTGGGCAGGGACTCCTCACAGTAGACCATGTCACCTAAGACTCCGTCCAGCCTGGCCTTGAACACTGCCAGGGTTGGAGCATTCACAACTTCCTTGGGCAACCGTTTCAGCTGATTCTGCTTTCTTCCATATCCCCTGTTGCATCCTTGTTATCCTTTAAGCTTGTGCTGCCAGTCATTGTCTTAAGCAATGAGAAGTGGTGATGTGCCTGGACTGCCTTCCAGCCACCACTGCTGAGCTTCACATGGAAGTGATGGGAGATGGGGGAGTTGAACTGCTCAGGCTGGATATTGCAACAGTACTGGACAGTGACTCCTCCAAGCCAGCAGCATTTAGCTTAGCGACTTGTACTGTGACTTTACAGGCTTTACAGGGTATTAAATGGCTTTAATCTCTGAGATATTTGATTTCTGAGAGTAACTAAGGCTGTTACTATTTAACGTACTGTTTTCCCTTGTCTTGGACTTTAGGCTGAGGTTGCTGAGTATCTGGGTCTGAAGCACTACATGGATGTTTTGATACTGATCACAACTGTCGAGTATGTCACACCCATGTCTGATGAAAACGTCACTGTGACAGACACAGAGTTCAACAACATTACCGTCCGTCTGTACCTGCCCAGAAAGGCATCTGATGGGCTGAGGAGGGCAGTGATCTACTTCCATGGTGGAGGATGGTGCGCAGGACAGGCAGGTAAGCTCTTCTTTGCCAGTACCAATGGTCTGTATGTAAGATCTCAACGGCCCATGTTAAGCGTTGCATTTTGTTTCATGGGAGCTGCCACAGAGAGGGTCGGGGAACTGGTATTTCACCAGTTTAAAACAGGTGGAGATTTTGGAAAGTCACCTGAAAGCTTCTGCAAAGAGGAATATGCTGTTGCATGCGTGTCTGTTCTCAAATGGGCTGGAGTGTATTCTAAGAGACTAATTTTATCTCAGGCATGAAATCCTACGATCATCTGACAAGGTGGACTTCAAACATGCTAAATGCTGTCGTGGTATCAGTCAAGTAAGAGATTCTTGTTCTAGATGGGTTGAGGGTTTGGAATAAATCTATTTCAACTAATTTTTTAATACTTTTTTTTTTTTATCATGTCCTTTCCTGCCTGCTTTAAGTATTTGTAAAGAAAAGCTGTCAAGTTTACAGTGGGTGAGTTGTGGCTGGTGGTTATTTTGGATGTCTCTTTGTGAAGTTGGATGGGTAATAAAATATTTGAGATAGATAATTCCCATTTCTCTGGGCACAGAAAATAAACATTCACCAACTAGGGCAGATGTTAGCAAGCCTTTGTTTTTATTAATAGTGTGAAATAACAGACTTCTGTCTGCCTCTAACAGTTACAGGTTGGCACCTAAATATCATTTTCCCATCCAGTTTGAAGATGTGTATTCGGTAACAAAGTTCTTCCTCCAGAGCAGTGTCCTCTCCCAGTATGGGGTGGACCCAGATCGGGTTTGTGTTGCAGGAGACAGTGCAGGCGGCAACTTAGCTGCAGCTGTGGCACAGCAGGTAAATAAAACAAAGTTGGTTTGTTACCTTAAAATGTTGAGGAGGGAGAGGGGGTGTTTCTTTTGTTTTGTTAATTCATGAAAGCTTAGAAAAGTCTAACAAAAGGCTCTGCAAGTGTACCTCCCGAATGACTTTTGGGGTCCATGTACACAGGATGACATGCAGCCTCCAGAACTGTCAGTGAGGGCTCCAAATTCCAGGGTGAGCAGATTTACTTGAGCCATTTAATGGCATCAAAGTAGCTTTGATGCTATGATGTTGTCCAAAATGTTATACCCTAGAAAATGTCATCTGGCCCATAATTAGGGTATATATCACTCTATCCTTAAGCACATTTCAACTGATTTAGGTATGTTGTTTGAATTTTAGCAATTTGCCTCATATAGATGTAAATAGCAGAGGGGAAAAAAAAGAGATACCACTAAATAAATGTTCCAGTGTCACTTGATCACAGATAGTTCAATGCCTTCTGCACTCCTCTCTCAGCTTTACTAAATAAAGTCAGTGTGACGTTGTTGCTCTCCTGAGAAATTATTCAGATTCTACTGAATCTCACTTGGAAAGGTTGTGAATTTGCCATGGACACTGAAGGCAGAAGATCAGGGAGAAATTTATTAGTGAAGAGGGGAAAAGGATGACATATAAGAAACACCACTGTTCAATTAATCACATTTTATTTTTCACATGTCTAAAATGCACAGAATTGTAGTTGTCTGAGTTCTAACACCTCTAACATCTGAGGGCTAAAAAAGCAAACAGGTGGATAAGCTCTAAATAGTTTGATATGATTAAAGGAGTCTCAGAAAGCAACAATTTTTAAGCTGTAAGAAATTTTCTGTAATTATAGAAAAATAATTTATTACTACCTCAGAAAACATCAGTGTTTCAAAAAGTCTCTATGCTTCAAAAAGTATTTCCTGAATATTATTATTCTTCAAAACAAGAAATAAAATTAAATTATACTTGATGTTTGAGCATTTCTAATACAACACACTGTTTAGGTGATCTGCCTATGAATTTAGAATTCCTCTAAATTAATCTGTTATAGTCTTGCTGATAATCTTTTGTTAATGCTGTAGATGTGTGTATTAATTCCTTACTTTTAAGGTCTTCTGTCAGTGTGGGAGAACCAACACTTTTTAACAGACTTTCTGTATTTATTTCTGTTTTCTTTTACAGCTGTTGGAGGACCCTGAAGTCAAAACTAAACTCAAAGTCCAAGCTTTGCTTTACCCTGCTCTTCAAACCCTTGACCTGAATTTGCCATCTTACCAAGAAAATGAAAACAAGCCCATTTTATCCAAGTCACTTATGGTCAGGTTCTGGAGTGAGTATTTCACTTCGGATTTATCTCTCAGGGAAGCAATGATCTCTAATAGGCATGTCCCGGTTGAGTCAAGCCACTTGTTTCAGTTTGTAAACTGGAGCAACTTGCTGCCTGAGGAGATGAAGAAAGATCATGTCTACAGCAGTCCCACCTACGGCAACTCCAAGCTTGTCCAGAAGTACCCGGGGTTTCTGGATCCAAGGGCGGCCCCGCTGCTGGCAGGCGATGCCCAGCTACACAAGCTGCCCCGCACCTACATCCTCACCTGTGAGCACGATGTCTTACGGGATGATGGAGTCATGTATGCCAGGCGCCTCCAGGCAGCAGGCATTCCTGTCACACATGACCATGCCAAGGATGCCTTTCACGGGGCGATGATGTTTGTCTCATTTCCAGCTGAGTTAGCTGTAGGGCACCGCCTGTTGAACAGATATATTGAGTGGTTAAATGAGAATCTATGAGCTGAAGATGTTGCTCTGCTATGCCTGGACCACATTCACTAGGTGTGATCTTAAGGTCCTTTCCAACCCTAGCCATTCTATGATTCTATGATTAAGGAGCATGGGAGAATAGGAGCTATGTGACTTCTGGGGTGATTGCTGTCTTCATTGTGTTGCCATGAAGTGTCTGGATTGCAGCATTTCTTACCTTCTCTAGCAGGAAAATCACACTGATTCTAACCTGAGTGTTCTTTCGGTGCTGTCATCTGAGTTCAGAACCACATGAACTGCCCTGGGATTTATCTCCTGGCCAAGACCAGAAGGGTTGGTGTGCCTCACCCTGCCTGTGCCTGTTGGAGCCCTGGGCTGATGCAGTGTGTGGGACTTGCTGTCCTGTGTTGTCTGGTTCTTGTTTCTTCATATCACTAGCTTGTGCAAATGGGCAAGGTGACTGTCTGCACACACTTGGTGCTTGGTGGCCACTTGCTCCCTGTCCCCTTCAGCATGCTCCCTGGTCCTATGGGGTGCACTGACAAGGCCCCGCTACTGCCACTGGGTGATGGGGTAAGCAGAGGTGCAGGGACCTGACTTCAAAGTAGAAGGCAGTTTGTGGAACCCTGTCCATCACAGGCAGCCACTGGATTTGTGCTATTGTCTTCCTCCAGCATTGCTCAAGGAAGTGCTTGCTTGAAAACTGAGAGGTATGGCTATAACAGTGCAAATGTTTGAGAGGTTTTTTTGTTGTTGTTTTGTTGGTGTTGTAGTTTGTTTGGTTTGGTTTGGGTTTTCTAAAAAACCAAGCATCTGTCTGTCTTGGTAGGTAATCACTTTCATTAATCCCTATACTAGAAGGAAATATTGTAACAAAACAGCACTGGATATTTGTAAGATAAAGAGAGACTGTGAAGGTCCTAGCCTTTCTATAGCACTGCTGTGTGGTTTATGCTCTACTTATTTGAAAACTTATGTATTATGTGTTCTAATTATCCTTAAAATTGTTTATTGTGTTTTACATATGAATTTTTAAAAACAAAGTTGGCTTACTAGCTTTATAGGCTTGGAAAAGAAACACAATTCAGTTGTCAGTCTTCAAACAATATCTGCTATATAAATCTTTTCTGTATTAAATAAAAACCCTAAATATGAGTGATGAATGAACATGTTGGTTGGTTACTGGGTTTTTTAAGCTGATTACAGCACACCGCAAACGTGCACTTCTAGCATCCTGCTTCTTAATTTTGCATAAAAGATACTGAATCTTCAATAATTCTGGGTTGTTTTTTTCTGAGTGTGGTTGCAGCCTGTTTAGGTGGAATGTGTATGGAGTAATTGCTATTTTTTTTTCTTTTTAATCTTTATGTTGAATATAAAAAATAAAATTGTCTTTGACAAAAAGTACATTGCATTGAAATCACTCATTCTGTTCATCAGAAAGGAGTAATAAGCTGGCTTCAGTACACTTAGTAGCTATTGCAAACAATTGGGACCAAACACAGGGAGATGTTTTACTTCTGCTGTTACTGTTAATGTAAATACTTAGCAATGCTTGACTGTGGTTGCTGAAAGAAACAGAAGTAGTGAGTAGGTGTCTTCTACCAACAAAAGGATGCTGGAAGTTGCTATCAGGATGGAGGCTGGTGGAGAGCTGAGCCTGGCTGTGCAGGAGGGCTGCGCTGGGGTTTGCTGTTGCAGCTGGAGCATTATGCTTCTCTACTTCTGAATCCAGCCTTGAAGCAGTGAGTGCCCTACTGCTAGAATACTAAGCATAAAACGTAACATGGGATTCAAAAGCAGCTTGTATAACCCCCATGCACAGCAGTGCAATGTGTTTGCACATCCCTGGGATGTGTCCATGCTCGTGCAAGTTCCCAACATGTTTGGCAAGTTATGTCTGACAATGCCCTCCCAGCTTTTGCCTGCAGGACTGGGCTCCCATCTGCTGGCAGCAGACACCTCAAATGGAGTTTTGTTTCTCCCTCATTTGGAATTAATTAACAGCAGATTAGTACTCCTAATGAAGTAGGGGCTTGGGATTTTACCTCAGTAATTCCTTTGCTTTGACCTTCTATACAGTATTAGGGTCATGTCTGCAAGAATGTTCCCTGGGTGTAGGGTATTTCCAAAGCTGTAAGTGCTAGTGGAGTGAACCGAGTTGGCCATTAGTCGCTATAAGTGATCCTTTCTCTGAGTCTTACAGGCAGCTTTATTCTTTCTTCCATAGAAATGGCAGGAAAAGACTTAAGAGAACATTTTGAGAGGACAGTTACTTTGTCAGAGGGGTATGTGCACAAGGGATATAAAAGCAGGCATCTTTCAGTGGGTTATGTTGCTGTCACTGATGTTGGCTTAGATTGTTTTCCTTCCCTGCAGGCTGGGACATCGCTGATGGAAAGGTGCTTGGCCTGGAGTGCTGGGGATAGCTTGCCCATCTCTCAGTTGGTGACAAGGACTGGCGTGACAAGCAGGAGGGTGGTTGTTCCAGCAGACTGAAAAGCTGGGCATGAGCTGTCCAGGCAGCCCAGGTGGAATCGAAGCATGGTGAGTGCCTGCGTGGGATCTGCCATCCCTGGGTAGAGGAGACTTTGCCTCCCTTTGGCAGGGAGCGTGCCAACCCAGCGGGAGCAAACCTGGGACACCCTCCTTGTCCATGCTGCCACTGGCACGGTGTTTCCTCTGTTGCAGCTCAGACGTGGGGAGCACCCAATGCTGTGAGGGCAGCAGAGTGTCCGTCAGGGGGCACTGCTAACTGCTGCCTTTGCGCCCCGAGCAGGGCTGTTGGTCCTTCCTGCGCTCCCGTGTCGGGAGTGTAGCACTGAGCGTGTGTGCAGCTCCCGGCAGAGCCTGCAGAGGGCTTTGGATGTGGGTGATCCTGGCATTTCCTCCGTTTCTTCAGACATATGCTCATGGACGGCATTGGGAGTGGCTTAGCAGGGAGCTAGGATTGCTGATGGGATGGTTGTTGGCCAGAAGAGAGCCTGGGGAGGCAGTGAAGGAGGAGGTGAAGCCATGCCTTGAGGGTAGATACCTAAATTAGTGGAGAATCTGACCTAGCAGGCAGGCATTGAGGAGATAAAGCAGTGAAGATGATGGCAGTGAGAGGAACAGCATGAAAGACATCTCTAGAAATGATCTTTCTTACATTTAGAAAAGTTTATACCTGTAAGGTTGTAGAAGAACTTGTTCTAAGCAAAAAGGTTAACAGCGCTACCACCCTCCCCCTGCATGTTTTTATAGGACTCTGCTTGGAACAAGAAGTAAATGTCTTTTAACCACCAGTATCTAAATATGGATTCATGATTGATTAGACTGTATACGCTTTTGATCAGGTTCCTCAAATAGACTTTTTGAGTTGGAAATGCTTGGTAAGGCACAAAATGAGACAGTGAAAACTGGAATGTCAGTGTCTTGCAGGAGAGGCTGAAGATGCAGTAAGGAACACATTTATCCAGAGCAGAAAACAATAAAAGCCACCCCAAGGGAAAGCTTTGTTCTGTCTCCCAATAGAGACTGAAATTAAATTTGGTGTTTGACAGTAAAAGATAAAGCTCAGCCTTGCTATCATGATGGCGTGGCTTAGACAGCAGCATTTGAAGAGGCTGCACTAGCAAGCATGCTTTAGCTCTGCCCTGCCACCACTGAAACCCTCCTGGCTTTAGCTCTGCCCTGCCACCACTGAAACCCTCCTGCCAAACCTCTGTGGGGCTCACGTCCCTGCTGCCTGGCACACCGTGTTCGCATGCCCTGGCTTCACCAGTCCTTTGCTGCAGGTCCCAGGCCTAAGTCTTGCTCTGCCAGTGTGTGCTTGGGTGCAGCATCAGCCTCTCACCGGCAGGTCCTCTGTTTCTTTCCTTCTTAGGAGGCACAGCCTATTCTTGTTTGGAATTTGCAGAAGAGCCAGCTCCAGACGCAGAGATCAAACCCTCTGAGGATGCCCAAGCATGCTGGGAAGCTGTTCTTAAACCCTCCAGTTCCCCTGACGCCTGTATAAAACATGATGCAGTGGTAGATGTATACAGAGAAAATGAAATTCACACTTGCAAGTGAGTAGAGGGGGAAATTAAGCATCCTCACCTATTAGGGTTTCCCCCTTTAACAGTTTGTTAAGAGTCCTTAACTTCTTGATGAAGTACTATACTTTTGATTTTTCTAGTATTATTTGGAACTGTTGATTAATTTCTGCATTGGCAAATTCAGTTTAAGGCCCAATCACATTGGTGCTCCTCAGCGTTTTCATTATTTTCATTAACCGCTTCACAGACGCAATTTCAAAGTCTCCCTTTAAAGGTTAGCTCCTAAAGCTGTTTTGGTTTATTTTGGGTTTTGTGCTGAGGTTAGCCAGGAGCCCCAGGTTAAACCTCCCCCAGCAGAGGACAGCACATCTCAGACCTGCAGTAGTACCAGCAAGGAGAAGCCGGAGGTGCCTGGTATTGCTTGTCTGATGCCAGCTGTGTTGCATGGGACACCCAGCTGGTTTTGACAACAGCAAAAACTGCTGTGGAGTCACACTTTAATTCAGGTATTCTTTATTGATAAGCCTGCTGGAAGGTGATGTAATTACAGGTGCCAGATTTTGTGACTAGGAAACCTTTGCTGAGTCTTTGGCCTTAAAATAATCAGGTTTAGAAAACTGTGCTCAGAGACAAAATGAATCTATGCAATATCCATAGGGATGTTAAACTAGGACAAATAATGTAAAACCACTGAAATTATACTAAGAATATTTTAACTATAATAATTACAAGGAATTTTTGAAACATTTTTCTTTTAAATACTTGTGCTTTGTTGCACACTTTTCTCAAGGGAGAATGTGTTTCAGGTTAGATGAGAGTGACCTTCCTGCCTTCCCTGACTTTGCAGCTTTGGTGTCCCCAGTGTTGGTGAACCTATCATGGCAGAGCAGATGCCCTCGGCAGAGCCCCGCAGGGACTCTGCCTGCCTGGCCCCAGTGATGTGCTGGATGGGGAGATGCAGTGCCTACTCACATGGGCAGAGGGTACCAGGCCTGGCAGGATCTGGGAGTCGTCAGAGCAGAGCTGTGTGGGTCCCCATCATGGCTGAGCTCTCCTGGTAGTCCCACCATCAAGCAAAGCTGAAAAAAAGAAGCCCAAACCCCAAAAGCTGCGTTTTACACCTTTGTTTCAGCCTCAGCTGTTGGGTATAGCTGACACATGTCCACTCATTGTGGCTAGAAAGTGCTGAGGTAGAGTTAGTTATTAATTACCTGTGAAGACTGCTCATCTGACCTGAGACACTGTGCAGACAGACTGATGCCTGGGCCTGACACACTGACTTGCCCGTGCCTACCTGCTTGAGTTGCCAAACACAGGCAGCAGCAAGGGCTCCATGTCTTTGGAGGCTGATGTCTTTATTGCTCTGACACCAGTTATTTGAAGCTTTAATGCAGTATGGAAGAATAAATGCTCCCATTTATTCAGTCTCTTTTTATCCTTCAGTACAGCAGTAGTTGCCTGAATGAAAAAAATATTTAAAAGCTAGTAAATGAGAAGCCAGTGTTATTTATTAGCTACATGGGAAATTTTAAAGCAGCTTCTGTAATGCCTAAATATTAGTTGATTTGTTGGCCTCGTCTTCAGAGAAAAGCTAGAATAGCTTTTTTATATCCTGGATATTAATGTCGTTAATATTTGCTAACATGAAAGTACATCACAATGAAGGAGGATGGTATTTTTAGTAGCTAGACCATGTTTATTTCTCCCATTTAAAAATAATCATGGTGGTATTCAGACTTCTACTGATGTGTACCATGACCTTGTATTTAACTACTACTTCTACTGGGCTTATTCACCAGGCCTCAGCTGCTAGTTCTATTCTATAAAAAAGAAAAAAAAACCACTTAAAAGAACCTAATATATATTTTATGTATATTGCTTTGTGGATGCCCCGCCATTGCAAATGTTCAAGGTCAAGTTGGATGGGTCTAGTGGAAAGTGAGCTGGTCTTTTGAGAGCAGAAGGAGGAAGGTGCTGGGGTGAAGTTGCAGCAGCCAAGAGCAGTGAAGGCTCCTTCCTCCTCTTCCTGGAAGGTTTGGGTTGAAAAGAGGACTTTTTAGCTTTGGGGGAGCAAAAGAAATTTGTGTATTGGACTTACTGAAACATACAATATTAACGAAGATCTATTCCTCCTAGAAAAAAGTTGAATAATTGAAGCAATTTCATGTCTTTCCTCATTTTCAGGCCCTGCTTATAGTTAGTACAACTCCAAATAACAGATGGCAAAGTGCTAAGGGGAGCAATTGTCTATGAGATGTGTATTATGGAGGCACTTTATGCAAATAACACCCCGCGTGCAGCCGTTACACTGCAGGCTTGCTCAGATGCTGCCATCATAAAAGCAGAATTGTGGGCAGACGACACACAGGTGGGAGTGGATTCATTTGCAGTTTGTCTGCTCTTTATACGTGCTGCTTGTTTGCACACAGCAGTTCATAAAAGCCAGGTCCCTTGTCCAGCAGCACCCAGCCCAGCTGAGGGTGGTGCAGGTGCTGGCCTGCGGGGCTGGCAGACCCAGAGATGCTCAGCCCTTCTCCCACCCTCTGCCTCCACATCCCCCTTAGCACAACCCCTCTCTCATCCATCAGGTTTCTAGTCATTGCGACACTGAAAGTTTTTTGTGACTCTTCAAGCCTGCCGTTTGCTCTCCAACGTCCTGAATTGTAGTAATTTTAGGAGTTGGTAAGCACCCTACCAACATCCCCTAATTAATGGGGCGGGAGCTGCTGTGACCTCTTCCTCACAGCAAGCTAAAAGCATGAAGAGCACAGATGCATTTTTCTGGCAGGGAGCTGGTGAAGGAGCATCTCACTGCAAACACAATGACTTTGGCCTGGGGACTGAAGCAGAGGAGAAACAGATCACACCTATTCTGGAGCACAAGAAAACCAGGTACTGCTGGGCTAATATAAACAAGCTCTGGATAGACAAAAGTAAACATTTAATTCTATCCCTTCTTTGTACCATGAGTAGAAACAGCATTCAGCTATCACATTTAGAGTGACCTACTGTACAGCCTCTGCCCAACACTGTTTAGCTTGTGTATAGCAGCAGCATGTGCTGCTGACCCATTTGTGCTGCAGTTGTCATCACAAAGTTCACTTCTACTGGTTCATGGTGGCCAGGGCAAGGTATTAATTTAATCTAGTAATAATTCATAACCTAAAAGAATATTCTCATGTTCTATTTTGCTCATGGGATAAATCCCGAGTGGGGATAAACATCCCCTGTTCAAAAGGTCCTGCAGGAAAGGCACCACATTTTACTCAAGGTCAACCCTAATGTCTCATTCCAATCAGTCATCATAATAAACCGTTAAATATGCATGACTCATTTAATAGGCCTCAGTCTAATATAAACTGACTAATGGGTATTTAATGACAACAAATGTGTCTGACTCCAGTTGCATTTCTTCTTTAAAGCCTGTAGCTTGCTAAAAGACCCAATGAATTTAGCAGCATGACATTAATTTACAGCCAGAGCCTGTCTTTGTCTCCCAGTCTAAATGCCCAATTTTTGCAAACTTGCTTCAAATTGCCTGGGAGCTTCAGGATTGATTCTAGGTAGCACCATTTTGACAGTTTGTCTGAGAAATACTATAGATATCTACCAAAACAGCGTGAAGAAGTTCTGTCATCATTAAGAACTGTTTGTTTTTTTTGAATGGACAGTAGTTGCATTAGGCTGTTTCTCAGTGAAAATATTTATACTGGCTATGATCCTTGAAAGACTAGCTGACTAAGAAAACAGGATGTTATTGGGGTGCTGTAGGGATGAGGGTTCTCAGGCCTGGGGTGAATTTCCCTCCTGCCAAGTCATTATGGACATGGACCCAGGATCAGCAAATTGTGCACAGTGGCCAAGGCCGCCTCCTGCTGCTTCTGTCCCCCCTGGCTCTACCAGTGTGCTCGCTGCTGCATGGGGGCTCTCCATGGGATGCTGCAGCTTGCACCTGGGCAGAATCTCTCCTGCTTGACCAGCCTTCAATGCATCCTTAGACTCTTTTAATGCACTCTTATCCATATAAGGAAGTCTCATTTTAGTCCCTTATTTACTGCGAGCTTTCTGCACATATGTATTAAATTGTTTCAAGGCATTTCAGCAACCATAAAAACCACTTCTTCCATTACCATTCATGTACTGTGCAATGGGTTCTCTACAGTGTTAATTTTATTCCATTTTGGATTTTTTATGGCATGTATCACAATATGGATGCAGAAATGAAGTAGTTGCTGCTCCTAGTTTCCATATAGCTCTGTGTATATTGATAGTGGTCTCCCCACTGTAAAGAGACATCAAGATGATTGCCCTGTTAAAGCTCAAGCCATGTTAGTGCTGATCCCAGTAAAGAGACTGAAATCCCTCCAGAAGCTGGTGCAAAAGATATGCAGACCTAGAAGGCTTATTTTGAGCATAATGGAAACCCCTATCTATTCCTCTCTTTGATTTCATACCTTTAATTGAGTTTAGCTGTCAGAGGGTGATGGTTGTGCAGCAAAACCTGCAGCTCTGAGCAGGTGGCAGCGACTCTTT